GACCAGCTTCTTTATGGTTTCTGTTAGCATGAAATATCTTTTTCCATCCCTTCACTTTCAGTCTGTGTGTATCTTTGTTGTTGAGATGTGTTTGTTATAAGCAGCAAATAGATGAGTTTTGGTTTTTAATCCATTCAATCACTCTGTATCTTTTAACTGTAGAGCTGAGGCCATTTACATTCAAGGTGATTATTGATAAGTAACTACTTGGCCATGCCATTTTCCCATAAATATTCCTATTATTTCCTTTGGACTTCTTTTGTACTTTTACTGGGATATTTTCTGTCTTCACATTGTTTCATAATGATAACTATCTTTCTGTGTTTCCCTGTGTAAAACATCCTTAAGCATCTTTTATAAGGCTGGATGAGTGGTGAGAAATTCTTTCAATTTCTGTCTGTTATGGAAGGTCTTTATTTCACTTTAATTAATAAATGAAAGCTTTGTAAGGGTATAGTATTCTGGGTCAGAAGGTTTTTTTTTTTTTTCTTTTAAGACTTGGACCATACCTCTCCATTCTCTCCTAGCCTATTGGGTTTCTGATGAGAAATCAGCTGTGAGTCTAATTGAATATTCTCTGAAAGTAATCTGGTGTTTCTCTTGTGCACATTTTAAAATCTTTTCTATGTTTTACTATGGACAGTTTGACTATAATGTGACATGGTGAAGATCTTTTCTGGTCATGTCTGGTAGGAGTTCTATGTGCTTCCTGTCCCTTTCTTTTTCCAACTTGGGGAAATTTTCTATGATTATTTTACATAATAGCCCTTCTAACCAATTCTTGCTTTCCATATCTTCACAAACTCCTAACACCCATATGTTGAGTTTATGATTTTATCTCAGAAATATCAAGTATTGTTTTTAATTTTTGTAAATTCTTTTTTTTGGTCTGACTGAAATATTTTAAAAAATTGTCTTCTAGCTTAGATATTCTTTCTTTTCTCACACCAATGTTTGTAAGGCTTTCCACTATAATTTTTATTTGATATATTGAATTCTTCATTTCTAATATTTCAGTTTGATTTCTATTCAAAACCTCAGTTTCATGAAAAATATTTTCTAAATCCACTTATGGACTTTTTTAAACTTGCGAGTTTGTTTTTAATTGCCTCTGATCATTCTTTGAATTCTGTTTCAGGCATTTCATCAATCTTTTCATCTTCAAGTGCTTTTATTTTCTTTTGGGTAAGTTATGTTGTCTTGTTTATTATTGATTCTTAGATTTCTGTGTTTATTTTTAGGCAATTGTGGAAGATCTTATTGGTTTTATTCTCTGATGGATTTTAGCTTTGAACTATGCCTCTATGGCTTAGTGGACTAAGTACTAATGAACATTGGTACTGACTGTGGTCAGGGAGCTCTGATCAGTGCTTCAGTGTGGGGCAAGCATCCCTGGTGACAGCCAAGTTGGGTGTGGTAGATCTCCTCTATTGTCAGCAGTATGGTGTGTATGTTCACCTCTGTTGGTGTAATCAGCTCCTCACTTCCTCTCTTACCAGGTGATCAATGCCCACCGTTAGCCTACAGTGGGGGCAACACTCACGTTGTCACATGAATTACAAATGACCCACCCAGGAAGGCAGGGAGCTCTGATCCTCTGGCATCAGACACACTAATTGCCCAGAGATCCAGCTTTAACTTGAGTCTAATTGTGCAACCACATAGACCACATAGTTCTCACAGTCATAGAACACAAAGCTCTCACAGTCACAAGGTGCAGAGGATTTACATTTTCCTGTCCACAGAGAGCAGACATGTTCCCAGAGGCAGTGCCTTTGGGTGCTCTAGCTTGAGAGTTTGAGCCCTGGAGCCTGTGAAAATTGAGTGGATGGGTTACTTCACAGTCTTACATGGGTACCTAGCACTCTGTCAACCCTTCCAGTGAGACTCAAAGTCAGTGATGAATGTAGATTTTTCCCTCTGGTAATATATCCTGATCAAATGTGCCCACAAAAGACACCTCAGCCTCTACTTGTGTCAAAATGGTGCCTTCTTCTGCCAGTTGCTCAGTATCTTCATCAGGGGAATGGGGAGGAAACAAACACACTTTTCTTTTGCTTGATTAGGTGGGTACCTTGACCCTCATTAGGGCTGCAGGCCAGACAGTGTGGTCCAGAAGGCTCTTCCTTAGGTTATATCACCAGTTGCATGGGCTGCTGCAGTCTGCTCTCAGCTTGATCTCCAAAGCTGACATTTGCTCCAGTTCCATTTTCCTGATGCCAGGGATGTGTGTGGTTTCTATGTTCATTGCTACATGTCTGCTCTGCACCTTCTCCGTGGCTCCATGGATGCACTTCCTCCCTTTCTTCTGTATTTCTCCAGAGTTTACAGCAGTACATCTTTTCCCTAATTATCCATTATGGAATTCTCCTCTGTGGTAAAATGTAAAGTTTATAATTTGCATTTGGATATTCAATTATTCCAGAACCATTTGTTAATTCAATCCCTTCATATTCTGAGTTGCCCAATAAGAGAATTCTTCAAAGTATGACTTTAAAAAAAGAAGAAGAAATTAAAAATTTCAAAAGGAAATATTTATTTCTTTATTTTTATTTTATCTGAAAGGCAGAGAGAGAGAGGGAGAGGGAGGGAGGGAAGGAGAGAGGGAGGAAGGGAAGGAGAGAGGGAGGAAGGGAGGGAGAGAGGGAGGGAGAGAGAGAGAGAGAGAGAGAGAGAGAGAGAAATCCCCATCTACTGGTTTAGTCCCCAAATGCCTGCAATAGGCACAGTTGGGACAGGCCAAATCCAGGAACCTGGAACTCCATGCAGTTCTCCCACATGGGCCTCAGAGATTCATGTACTTGAGCTATCATTTGCTGCCCCCCGGGATGTGCATTAGCAGAAAGCTGGATTGGAAGTAGAGTTGGGAGTTGAATCCAGGCACTCTGATATACAATGTGGGTATTCCACAAATTGTGCCAAATGCCTGCCCACCAAAGATTTTTAGAAGTCTACATCAGTGGAAGTTTTAGCTGTAGTATATATGATATAGCTTTAATTTAAAATGATTCCCTTTCCAGAAAGAGAGATGAATTGATGTGCAGTGTGTACTTGACTTCCCATTTAGAATAATTACAAATGAAAAGTAATAATCCTTTGTTATTGTATATTTATGAAATTTTAGTTCAGAAAACATGGTCATCATGGTTATTCACTGGACTTTTCATATTTCTATATATTTACATTTTGAGATATATTAGGAATTTAAATGTAGCTTCAATAAATGCTAACTGCCTTTTTAAAAATGTTATAGGACTTCTAAATAGTTTTCTACTTATCATAATGCCAACTCCTACTTGTTCAAATAATGGTATAATCATTGGTTCTTTTGGAATACAAATACTTTTTGTTCATTGTCCTACTAGGAACAATTTGATTATGAGAATTAGTTGCTACTCAAATACATTGATACAGAAAATAATGATAATGGGATTTACATTTTCCATAAGCAACTCCAACATTTTTTTCACATTTTGCATTAGCAGCTTGTCATTATTACAAATGTATTTTCATCCAGTTTTATTTTGGAGTGTTTCTATGCTGAGTCAATATACTAAGACTTCTGCTTTTTTTGTACTGTTTTAATTTGATTTTTCAGCATTTTAGGATGGCTTAAGTTGTACACACACACCACAATAATCATATGACCTTTCTTGAGCCTTTCAGAATTGACAAGAGATATCATAGATGGCTGTACACATAAATTTAGTCTGTTCTTTAAATATGAAATAGAATGACAGGCCTTGGGAGTTCATATAGGTCTTTCTTATGTGGCAGACACGTAATACACACTACATTAATTTTTAATTCCTCTTTATGCAGGTTCACAGCAAGATTTCACACATGCAAATGAGTTTGTAACAAAGGATTCTTCTGAAAAAAATCTGTTAAAGTTATGCAGTATTGTGACGTGAGAGCCAATTTTGATTTTAATGCCAAATTAACTAAATATTTTCTCTGTGCTTATGCCAAATTCTTCTTTGCATTAGGCTATGAGATTTAAAATATATACTGTACTCAACAGTAACTTAATAGTGCTTGGAATATAGCAAGTGTTCAATAAATGTTATTATCACTGGCACCATCAGTGGAGGGGGGAGAGGCTCATAAATTTGTATTTTAGCATTGCATTGTAAAGAGAGACAATATGGCACCTGGAATAGTTTGGAGAATATCCAACATGAACTATTACATGGGAGAACTAGTTAGTTACAACCAGGAAATTAAATGATAGCCAAGAGCACAAAATAAAAAAAATTAGATAAAGATACACAGTCTGATCATTGTGCCTAATTTTGCATGTTTCAAAAGTAGCCATGTAGTAACAGTAAGATATTGGTAAGGAATGTGGAACTCTTCCAAATTCTCCTTTTGCATTTATGTTTTGTAACAGAATAGTTGGCATGGTATCCAGAACAACTTTTTTTTTTTTTTTTTGACAGGCAGAATGGACAGTGAGACAGACAGACAGAAAGAAAGGTCTTCCTTTGCCCTTGCTTCACCCTCCAATGGCCACCACGGCCAGTGCGCTGCGGCCGGCACACCGCACTGATCCGATGGCAGGAGCCAGGTACTTATCCTGGTCTCCCATGGGGTGCAGGGCCCAAGCACCTGGGCCATCCTCCACTGCACTCCCGGGCCACAGCAGAGAGCTGGCCTGGAAGAGGGGCAACCGGGACAGAATCCGGCGCCCTGACCGGGACTAGAACCCAGTGTGCCGGCGCCGCAAGGCGGAGGATTAGCCTAGTGAGCCGCGGCGCCAGCTCCAGAACTACTTTTACTTTTTTCTCTTTTCTCTTTTAATGCTATGAGAACTCCTCTTACCATTAAGCACTTTGCCTGTGACTTGGGAGAGACTGACATCTCAACCCCATCCCTCCCAACCAGTCATTCCTCAACTTGAGAACATAGATATGCAAGGGTCAACAGCTAATGAGGGCATCCTACTTTGTCTGAAAAGAGTCACTGATTCAGCATATTTATTAATTATTTTCACTTACTTCAAAAGTACAAGCAACTTGAGAATTTCTCGATAATGCGACCGATCCCAGAGAAGCCAGCAGGAGCCCCAGGGAGAGTTCTCTTTTCTTTGTGAAGGGCAGGATGCCCTGGAATGGGTTCACCCCGAGAGAGGGGCCTGTGCTTTCTTTTTTTGAGAAGGCCATGCCAAGATGGCTGCTGGCAAGCGAGCATCGGTTACTCAGGAATGGCTTTGAAACCCACCTGGCAAATGGAGCCTGCCTGGCAACAGGCTGTAATTGGATGGCTTTGGAAACTGCCTGGAAACAAGCTGTGATTGGTTGGGGCATAGACCATCCTTTGACCGGATTGGCTGGTCTTGGCTATATAAGCTGTTGTACTAACTGAAATAAATGAGTCTGTGGGCTGCTTGCCTCAAGCCTGCTTTCACCCGACTCCCGGGGTCTGTGTGATGACTCAGCGCCTCTTGTCCCCACCATGCTCCTCCTCTCAGAAACAAATCCACTGCAACATTGTTGAGAAATCAACAGCAACATCTGGCACGCCAATGTGACTGAGAAAGAGACAGCTTGTGGGACTCGGCAAGGTCCCCCCTGGATTTCAGCAAGAAGTCCCCTCGGTGTTTTGTGTGCTGTTCAGTTCTGTGAGGGTGAGCACAGAACCCCCTCCTAACGCCCCTTTCCTGTCCTTATCCTCGGTCTAAGTGACCTGAGGTTAGGCACACACTGCCCAGAAGTGTACGTCACTTCTTGGCTCCTCCTTTTACTTTTGGTTCGCCCAGCAAATTCACATAAGGGACTGATCATCCCAGAATTCGGAACCAAGTCATCTTCCCTCACTCGAGAGAGGTGACACTCCGGAGACACTGTGTGGGCATACGACCTTGACCTAACGAATCAAGGAAGTCCCCCACTAAGCACAGGACATACTTACGATCTGATACACCACTGTCTGTTCGTCTAATGTAGGGAACCCCTGCAAAATGCCATCAAGAGCTGAGGTGCTAGGAATTTGCTTTGTTACTGCAGCAGTGCTGTGCCTGTCTTCCTTTGGCTAGAGTCGGAATGCCATGCTGCTCTTAAGCACTCAGACATGGGAAAGATACCCCCCTCTCAGAATCCCGTGCAGATTATCAAGCATAGTGAATCTGAGTGGTAAGAGCCTGACACTCCAGGTCCCTGTCTCACAGACAACAGTTGATGACTTAGGGAGAGAGAGCTCTGACAGTGAAAATGACAATGTAGCATACAAGGTAGCAAACAATGTAGCATACAAAGTAGCAAACAATGTAGTAATGCCTAGTCAGCCACCCCCCACATACCCGTGGGATGAACTTATAGGACCTCTATATAATAACTCATGCCAGGTCATCCCATCCGCACCCAGTGAGGATCCCCACATTTGTGTCAGTACTCGGGCACCCCAAGCTCTTAGGGCAGATGCTAGACCCCATCCCACCTGCACGTTTGCTGTTAATGTAGGAGCAGATGCAGAATTCAGGCTCTGGATTCCAACACCCATAAAAGACCTTACTATGCTAAAAAAGGCTTCTCAAGAGTCAGGTCCTGACTCTCCTACTTTGAACAGGTGCTCACACAATGGGCAGCAAACCTTCAAACTCATTTTGACTGGGTTACACTGCTCAAAGCAGTTTGTCGAGACCACAGTTTTTAGAGTGGAAAGCCTCCTATCAGGAAGAGGCTGAAACTGTGGCAAGGAATAATGCTGCCTATGGAATAGCAGTAACCTTTGATACGCTTACAAGCCATGGCACCTACATGTATCCTCATGAACAAGCCCGTGTTTTACACCAAAAATTTCATATGTCAGCAAGCAACATAAAATTGCTTTTCCCAGAGCTAAAAATGAGCCAATGCAAACACCTTGCAAGAATTGTGCCCCTTCACCCCGTTAGGCCCAACTGCAACAAGCAGGAGTGAACCCGCGAGGCCTTGATCCTAATAAGATATGGCAAGTGGACATCACCCACATTAACTCCTTTGGTAAACTTAAGTTTGCCCATGTGGTGGTAGATACTTATTCAAAGGCTGTATTTGAAACAGCCCAATCCAGAGAAAAGGCTAGTAATGTGATAAAGGCAGTTAAATCAGCCATGCTGGTCCTTGGTGTCCCCTGGACCATAAAGACTGATAATGGGCCAGCATATACATCACAGGAATTTAATTCCTTCCTGAAATCTTGGAACATACAGTCTGCCACAGGTATCCCATACAACCCACAGGGACAGGCAATCATTGAAAGAACTCATAGGACGATTAAAGATCTTTTACAAAGACAGAAAAACAATCATATGCCCTCAGACCCACAGCTTGCTTTGATTGAGGTCCTTTTCACTATCAATTTTCTTACTTTTGATTCCCAAGGGATCAGCCCAGCTTATAAACACTGGGGATCCTTTCCACCCCAGACCCCAGCCCCTGTGGTTAGGTGGAAAGACCCCCTGACAGGAGAATGGAAAGGACCATACCCTTTGTTAACCAAAGGTTAAGGATATGCTTGTGCCTTTCCAAAGAATGTGGAACAGCCCATTTGGGTACCAGCCAGAAACATCAAGCCTGCAACTGACAGCCAACCAGAATCAGCTGAGCAAGACTGAGAATCCACCTTCTTAGCAGATGCACCTGCCCTATCATCCTACCCTGAGGAACTGCCCATAGCCATATCTGTTACTGTTTTGTACCCCACTAGCTCTGGTCAGCCACTCAAACAGCCCACAGCCTGTGTGCGGTCACGCCATTCCTGATTACCATTGTTCCTCATTCCTACCCCTATCTGAGCAAGCACTCCTGCAGTCTCTCAATTTGAGCACTGGTTAGTCAATGACGGGTAAGATCCCCTGGGGGACAACCCAAGACAGGCACAGCTGCATTCGGAGACCAGATGGAAACGGGGTCAACAATGGTATGGTCAAGAATCATGCCTCCCATTGCTCAAAAATAAACGAAAAGGGGGAAATGCGGTGGAATGAGAAGGCCATGCCAAGATGGCCACTGGCAAGCAAGCATCAGTTACTCAGGAATGGCATTGAAACACACCTGGCAAATGGAGCCTGCCTGGCAACAGGCTGTGATTGGTTGGGGCATAGACCACCCCTTGACTGGATTGGCTGGTCTTGGCTATATAAGCTGTTGTACTAACTGAAATAAATTAATCTGTGGGCTGCTCGCCTCTTTGCTTGCTTTCACCCGACTCCCGGGGTCTGTGTGATGACTCTGCGCCTCTTGCCCCCACCACCTAGTGAGCCTAGTGAGCTGCAGCGCCTGCCATCTTTATTGTTAACACCTGTATTTTTCCCTTATAAATCTCATGGTGTCTCTGATAAAAGAACCAAAACAAACAAACAAACAAAAAAGAACAAAACCAATTGCAAATTTTATACTATGGAGATTTTTTCTTTAAAAAATTGAGACTCAAAATTAGAGAGCGAGAGTTACAGGAGAGAGAGATAGAGAGACAGGCAATATTTCATCCATTGGTTCGGTCCCCAGATGTCTGCAATGGCCAGTGCTGGGCCAGGCCAAAGCCAGGAGCCAAGAGCCAGGAGCCAGGAGCTTCTTCTGGGTCTCCCACATTGATCACAGGGAACCAAGCACTTGGATCATCTTCTGCTGCTTTTCCCAGGCCATTAGCAGGAAGCCAGATCAGAAGCTGAGTATCAGGGACACAAACTGATGCCCATATAGAATGTTGGAACCACAACTACACCTAAATGCCAGCCCCTATTTGGAGGTTCTTCTTTGTCAAGCTAAAGCATTTATAATATTTGTGTGTGTGTGTGTGTGTGTGTGTGTGTGGACACCTGGATGATAATGAATTCCTCTGAAAAATGAAGCACCATATGTCTTTATTTGTAAGACTGGAAGCAGCATAATAATGGGACAGAAATGCTAAAGACTGGGGGCTGGTGACAAGTTACCTGTTTAAGAATGAATGCACAATAGTAAAAGATATTTTGAAGGATGGAAATGAAATGTCTAAAATTCATATTATCAAGACTATGACTTCCTAGATATTGGGATGCACTACATTTTTTGTTTTCCATTTTGATTCATAAATTATGATTACTTCAGCAAAAAAATTGAATGGTGATTTTGGATTTCACTCTTCATTATTCACATAGTAATAGTTCTTTTACTAGCTGGATTCATATTTTTGACATTTTAAATATATTTTGGAATTAGAAAACATAGGTTTTGGAATAAAATAGTAAAATTTGGTACCTGATTGGAAACAATAGGGTGAGAATGAGGGAGAGAGGATAGAATGAAAGTTTCCTTTAATTTGTAGGGGTTGTCTAGAAGGCAGTGATTTTTTATATGTTGTTGGCTCTTGATCTTAATTTATTCTTTAAAATGAATGTGATGGAGATCCAAAATGGCTGAATAGGATGTAGCCACAGACACTTCAACTGCTCTGGGATATGAAAAGAACAAAGGAACGACTGCATTTCCAGGGACCTGACTGACAGAAATTTCTCACCAAAGACTGACAAAAACAATGACTGCATGAGACAAGGGGAGAGAATACAGAGATGCTGCAGGAGCCAGCTGCTGGCTGTGAGCTGCCATCATACCATGATAAGTGAGGAAGAAACAGCTCGAGGCTTTAGCTGAGAGCAAATTCCACAGTCACCCATTGACTTTTACTTCAGTCTGGGGAGCTGACTGGAGTCTGAGCAACTTCCAGGCTGGGAGCAGTGAAGCCACCATGCTTCCTCCCCCTCTCTACTCCTACAGAGCCCTGTAATTGGTACCAAAAATTTCGGCAGTGATCCTCTGTTCCACTCCTACCAGTGCCATTATCAGCATAGAGAGGAGATGCCATCTTCTCCAAGAGAAATGAAAGGAGATTGGGACAGTCCGTTTCACTGGTGATATTGCCCATGGACCATATGGACTTTGAATCTGGCCTGGAGAGCTGGCCACCTAAACTGAGGAAGTAAGAGCACATTGCTGTTGCTGTGGATTCGTTCTGAGAGGAGGAGCACAGTGGGGGCAAGAGGTGTGGAGTCACAACACAGACACTGGGAGTTGGGTGAAAGCAGGCTAGAGGAGAGCAGCTTGCAGACTCCTTTATTTCAGTTGGTACAACAGCTTATATAGCCGAGGCAGCCAATCCAGTCAAAGGGTGGTTTATGCTGTAACCAATCACTGCCTGTTGCCAGGCAGGTTCCTTTGCCAGGGGGGTTCTGAAGCCATTTCCTGAGTAACTGACACTCTTCAGTGCCATCTTGGCATGATCTTCTCATTCCAACACACATTGCCTGCTTCACATCCCCCTACAAAGGCTCTGGGGGAATAGCAGGGAGGAAGTGCCATCTCTGAAGGCAAGTCCAAGCTGCTTCAGCGTGTGT